CCTTCCTTCCTTCCTTCCTTCCTTCCTTCCTTCCTTCCTTCCTTTTCTTGGGACAGGTCGTAGGGCCTGAACTCTGGGCCTGGGCGCTGTCCCTCAGCTCTTCAGCTCAAGGCTAACGCTCTACCACTTGAGCCACAGCACCTCTTCCGGCTTTTTTCTTTTTTCTTATGTGGTGCTGAGGAATCGAACCCAGGGCCTCCTGCATGCAAGGCAAGCGCTCTACCACTGAGCCATCTTCCCAGCCCCTTCCTTCCTTCCTTCCTTCCTTCCTTCCTTCCTTCTTTCCTTCCTTCCTTCTTTTCTTTTCTTTCTTTTGGAGAAAATCTCTTCCTCTGTTTTTACTTGTATTTAACCTTACATCCTGGGTACTATTTTTAATAGCTTGTGCCTATGACTGTTTACTTTCAATGCTAAAAATGTAGATACTCAAAAATGCAAATTTGGAATTTTTGGAACTATATTTTGTTTTAGAAGCATTAAAAAGAAAGGCTTTTCTTTTCCTTTGATTGAAGATTTGATGTCAAATCTAGTGCTTGTTATCCTCTCTTAATTTGCTTACATACTCACCAGGTATACTCAGTACTTTTCATTCTTAAAAATTTACGTCATACATTAGTGTTGAACCTTTTGTAGGCAAGTTGATATTATTAGGAGATACTATGTTATTAGGAGAAACTATTTTATTAGAAGATACTATATTGGTGCTTTTAACTGTCCAAGGGGCTAAACAAATACATACGCATGTATTATAAAACTATTTCATGGATCAACTTGAAATAGCCTATTTAAAAAGTGATATAGTACAACTCTTATTGAATAATCAGTAAAAGTTGATAGATTTTGTTTTTGCTTTTGGTTTTTTTTTTTTTTTTTTTGGTCAGTTGTGACCCTTGAACTCCTGTCTGGTCTGTCCCTGAGCTTTTTGCTCAAGGCTAGCATTCTACCACTTTGAGCCACAGCTCCACTTCTGGTTTTTGTTTTTGTTTCTGTTTTGTTGTTGTTGTTTTGTTTTGAAATAGTAGTCTCACAGACTTTCCTGCCCAGGCTGGCTCTGAACCGTGATCCTCTGATCTCAGCCTCCTGCATAGCTAGAATTATAGGTATGAGCCTGTAATCAACCTGTCCTGGTTGATAGTTTTATCCTCCACTACAATTCTCATAGTGATTTTGTTTTTCACTTTCCAAAGTTCAAGGCTCATTTTAAAATAAAAGAGTTGTTCTAATACTGTCACTGGAATTCTAGTTTGTTTTTGATGGTGAAGTTTTCTTTTCTTTTCTTTGCCGATTGTGGGGCCTGAACTCTGGGCCTGCGTGCTGTCCCTCAGCTCTTCAGCTCAAGGCGAGCTTTCTACCACTTGAGCTACAGGGCCACTTCCTGTTTTCGAGTGGTTTATTGGAGATAAGAGTTTCTCAGACTTTCTTGCGGACTTTCTTGCCGGGGCTCGCATTGAACCGTGATCCTCAGATCTCAGCCTCCTGAGTAGCTAGGATTACAGGCGTGAGGGCCCGGCAATGGTGAAGTTTTCTATTTAAAGTTTTATAGCACTTCCTATTTATAATTGTAGACTTAAACCCTCAAGTTGTTTCATGTAAATAAAAAAATTCACTGAGTAAACTTGATAAAAAATAGTATTCAAATTCTCTATTCTTAAGTATTTGGAGAAAGTAGCCCAACCCAATAACATGTTTTTTGTAAACAGTAAATGTTTAAAATGATTCCATTTGGTTGGCTAGTACATTTTATTTGCATAGCATAGTTTCTGTAGTGTGTGAGATCTTATATACCTGAAAATATTTTAAGACCTTCTTATATGAACTAATTCAATGCAATAATTTTCTTACCCTTCTCTTTGCAGCATTTTCAGTTGGCTTTGATTGACTGTAATCCCTGCACTTTGTCCAGTGCTGAAAGTAAGTATCAAGTACCATAGTTTTCTATATGTATTCAGATAGTTTTATTACAAATAATAACACAAACCTAAAATAATAATCTGATAAATTTTGTGCATTTTTTCCTTCTAAACTGTTACTGTAATTGTATTGGTTGCCATGGCTACTTGTTCACCAGATATTGTGAACAACCTGTGTCTAAAATAGATAGGACAGTGGCAGTGCTGTTGAATTAAAATTATCTGTACTAAAGAGCCAAGATCAGTGGTGTGTGTGTGTGTGTGTGTGTGTGTGTGTGTGTGTGTGTGTGTGTGTGTGTGTACATATTTACTTGGGAATAAAAGCAAGGTTTGTCAGTCTTTTAGGGAACAAACATACACAGCTGCTTTTGCTGCATATATCTCACTGATTTTGCTGTATGTTATTAAAATTGCTGGTGTTTTTGAAGACATTTTGAAGGTGGTGGGAGAGTGTTTCTCTTCTGTTGCATTGGTATTGGTATTGGAGTTTGAACTCTAGGGCTTAATGTTCTTACCTGGCTTTTTCCAATCTAGGATGGAGTTCTACTACTTGAGCCACACCTCTACTTTTAGCTTTTTGCTGGTTAACTGGAGATAAAATTCTCAATATTTTTACTTGTCTGCCTGGGCTGGCTTTGAACTGAGATCCTGAGATCTCAGTCTAGAATTAACTATTGCCTGGCTTTTAGTTTGAGTTTTTATTGTACTTTTACATATCATATTTAAAATTTGAGATGATTTCATTTAATTTAAGAAAGTCACTTTTATGAAGTATATTCTGACAGTGACTTTCTATTAAACAATTACTTTCTGTTTCCGTATAGATTTCTTCTCCAAGTGTGATTGGGTTGATACTATGATGTGTTTATCACTAAATATATTTTGTTATATTTGTTTACTTAGTGTACTTTTAAAATATCCAATAAATAAAGAATTATCTGTAGACCCAAAACAATTCTTACTTGAAAAATAAATAGTTTAAGTCTAGGAAAAGTTGAATAATTCTAAATGAAAATCAAATTATTTGTGCCTTTTAGCTTGAAGTGGCAAAAAGAACAAAGAGTTCATTTGAGGAGTACAGAAAGGTCATAGGAAAATTTAGTGTTTGCCCAGCTTGCCTGTGATTTGAGTCATCTCCTTGACTACACTATATTCAGAAATGGATTAGTAGTCTCAGTGTTAGAAATGTCTAAGGAAATAGTTAGACCAACGAATAAATGGTTGAATTTTTATGGAGTTTGGGAAGACTGGAGTGGAGAAGTGTAGCTCAGTAGTCTAGCATGCCTAAAGCCCTGGCTTCCATCCCTAGCACCCCATCCCCCTAAAGTAGAAATTAAGTAAATGAACTTTTGAAACATCTCTATAGCAGAAATGCTTCTAAGGCCGTTTAAGAGGTATTAGTTACAGTTTGTGGTTTGAAAAGTAGAATCATGGTCATGTGAGATTTTTCATTATGATTGCCTCAGAATAAAGTGGTTGTCTACTAGTATTAATTTTAATTATAAAGTAATAGTTTCAGTTCAGTACTTTTATGGCAATGTTTGGTAAAAATGCTCATTTCAATTGAGATTAAGTGGAGCCTTCTTGTACAATTTACTTTACCTTGAAGAAGACTTTTCAAAAGTTTAATTGTGTGGTGTTTTTCAGAGTACAAAAGATGTCATTGGATATTGTCATGCATAGCATAGTGAGGTTCATTTCATAGAGCCTAGAAGGAAGACACTATGAAAACTACGTTTGGAGTGATAGTAGAATGCTTGTTCACTATTGATCATCTCTCTATTCTCCCTACTATCTCTATTAGAAGAATAAAAACATTGGGGGAAATAGGCATAGAATTTTCCATGTCTTCTTCACTTTTAATCAGTAACAGTCTCCCTCCATTTTGATTGAACCTCTCAAAGAGCTGCACTGGAATTGGAAGCAAGGAAGAAGAAACCCTTCCCTCTGTTGTCTTCCCCCCTCTCTTTCTCTACCCCTGTTTTCCTTCCCTCTAATAACTTTGTTATTATTTTTGTGTATTTTTACAAAATATATTTCATTTTTAAAGAGGATCTTTTTTTTGCCTTAATATTTGAGTATAATATCTAATTTACAGAGGTTTAGTAGTTTTGATCCAAATATAGTCATTTCAAGTTCATTATATATTTTACTTGTCTTGCTTGTATGACAAGTATTTCATAGTTATTTAGTTAATCTGTTGCCATGTGTTGATTTAGGGAATAGGCATAAAAAATCCTTCTCAGAGGTAAATAAAAAAGGAGTCTTCCAGACCTTGCCCAGGACGTCTGAATTATACTCTCATGAATCTGTATTACTAACAAGCCTTCTAGATAAATCTTATAAGAATCGATGAGAGAGTTCAGGGTACACACCACAGTGAGAACTCATTGTGGTAGCTTTTTTTAAGATATATGTGTTAATATTGAAGCAGTTTACTTCTTGTCTTCTAAAGTGGTTTCTTTTTTTTTCTTTTAAAATGCTAAAGTGGTCCAGTTCTAAAGATCTAAAAATGAAAATAAAAACTTCTTTCTTTTTTAAATTAGCACTATTATCCTTATTTATGTCTTCTATATAAATGCTGCTTATAGAAAATCTAGTATGTGAGAAGAACCTGCTGGTTTTCTTGGTAGTAATAGTTTTGTATTAAATTTTTTAACTGTACTGTATTTTTTGTCTTGAAGCTTTGAAAATATTATGTGTTCAAGTACATGAAATATATAGATTTTTCTCTATTTAATGTTGCTGTTGGTTAACACTAATTACATGGCAGAAAACTTGATAATGACCAATGAATATATATGGTATTTTACCATATTTGTCCTTTAATAGGCTTGTTTGTGTATTTTCTAATACTTAAATCTATATATTGTAGCTCATACTTACCATTATATTTTATTATTTTTACCTAATTTACTTCAAACCCTGATGTACTTTTAATGATTTTTTGTTTTCCATCCTTTGCAGTTCAGTTTCACATTGCCCACTTATATGAAACACAGGTGAGTGTTTTAACTTACCTAACTTTAAAAAAAGAGAAACAACCAAAATCATTATTTCTATCATGAGCATGGAATATTATACAGATAGTTTAATGGATTTCTGGCCATTATCTCTTCCATAAATTTTCTGTTATACTCATTAAATGTGGTTGGTCAATGTGTTGCTTAGTGAAACATTTTTCAAGAAGTTTCATTGAACATGACTTGCCTCTAAGCTTGGTTTGCAAGCTCAAATGACTGTATTTAAGATTTCCCTTATTTGTGATACAAAATGCCTCATTTTCTTTTCAAAATGTTATAGATGCCTGTTGGAATGCATTGTTTTCAAATAATTTCCTTCATCTTTTCTTAAGATAGAGTTCTGTGTCTCACTATTTAAAATTATCTCATAATGTCATCACCATTACTTTCATAGCTGCTTTATTTTCAGATGTTTTCAATTTAATTTTAGAACATTTTGTTTTGTGTATGGCACTATTTTGCTTTAATGTATGACAAAAGGTATAACACACTGACTATATGCAGTGCCATGGAATATCAGGGATAAATTTGTATGGCAAAAAAATTTGGCAAACCAGGGCTGGGAAGGTGGCTCAGTGGTAGAACGCTTGCCTTGCATGCCTGAGGCCCTGGGTTCAATTCCTCAGCACCACATAAGCAAAAAGAAAAAAAGCCGGAAGTGGTGTTGTGGCTTAAGTGGTAGAGCACTAGCCTTGAGCTGAAGAGCTGAGGGACAGTACCCAGGCCCAGAGTTCAGGCCCCACAACTGGACCCCAAAAAAAAAAATTTGGTAAACCTAGTTTGTGGCAATCCCTTACCCCCAGTTTCATAACAGCTTTTAAGGAAAATAATATGATTTATTATATGTGTGCATAATATCTCTTTTACCTTTCCTCCCTCCCTTCCTCCCTTCTTTCTTACTGGGGCTCAAATTTTGGGCACTGTTTCAGACCTCCTTTTGCTCAAAGCTAGCACAATTCTATTTGAGCCACATCTCCACTTCTAGCTTTTTGTAGTTAATTGGAGTCTCTCAGACATTTCCTGCCAGGGCTGGCTTCTAACTGTGATCTTCAGATCTCAGCTTCCTGAGTCATTACAGCTGTGAAGCTACCAGGGCCTGGCTGAATAATTTCTTATTTCGATATTTTTACCTGAATATAATGGTATATAGTATGTTACATAAAAACATATGGTCCTCCTGTAACTCATTATTAATATCACTATGGAATGTAATCAGATACTTTGAGATCAATTAAGCTAGTGGATCTCAAACCCAGCTATGAAGCAGAATAATATGGGAAACATTACAAATCAGTCACTTGAGGAGCTTTAAAAAAAATCAGACTCCTTTGTAACACTAATATTACCTCTGCTCCCATGCTTACTGAATCAGAACTGATGCATATTCAGGTTGAATTCTAACCTTCCCTAAAACCCATTTTCTGATTCTTGATGGGATCTGTCACTAGCTGAAGCATTTCTCACTTTTATCTTTAATGAATGTTTTTCAGGAGATGGAATTCTGTTTATTTGGCTGCTTTGAAATTTATATTCAGTTATCTTGGCATTCATTGTTTCTTATGAAAAATGGTCTATCAGTCTTATTGTTGAATCCTGTAACTGTAATATAAGGACAAGGGTCTCTGGCATTGGTTTTTTTTTTTTTTTCATTTCATGAATTTCACCCCTTTCATTTAATGAATTTCACCAGTCAATCAAATTAAATAAAACCAAAAGAACCAAACTCAGGACAAGCAGAGTGGGAGTTATTAGGTAACAAACAGTAAAGTGATGATCTGCTGAAATGTTTCCCTGCTTTTCATTCTGTAAAAATTTAGCATGCTTTCCAAAAGCAAGATAAAAGTTATGATAGTCCTAAGCCAAAAAGGGCACATAATGTCTAAGTGATAATGTGAAAATTTGAATTTGTTGAAAAGCAACATGTCTGTAGAAGTTGGAATGCATTCTCAAAATATACAAAATCAAGCCAGGTGTCAGTGGCTCATGCCTGTAATCCTAGCGATGCAGGAGATGGAAATCTGAGGATCACGGTTCAAAGCTAGCTCAGGCAAGAAAGTCTGTGAGAGTTGTAGCTCCAGTCCAGTTACACACACATACACACACACACACACACGCGTCTGTGAGAGTTGTAGCTCCAGTCCAGTTACACACACACACACACACACACACACACACACACACACACACACACACACACACACACACACACACACACACGAAGTGGAGCAATGGTTTAGGTGGTAGACTGCCAGCCTTGTGTACAAAAGCTAAGGGACAGTGGGTAGGCCCTAAGTTCAAGCCCCAATACTGGCAAAGAACAGTAATTATATTAATTAATGAGAAAATTCTCATTTACAATATCAGCAAAAGTAGGTTTAATACTTAAGAAATAATCTTAAAAGGGGATTAGAAGACTTGATAGTATGACAATGTTGGATCTGTTAACTTGTAAACTTAAGGAAACACCACTACAAAAGTACCAACAACATAAGGAGTTAGCTATAATGTGGAAAATCATGTTAGAATAGTCAGGATAGAACTGGATGGAAATTGTATAGGTTGTACTAACCCTACTGACAGTAAAATATACAGTAAAACGCATATAATTAACAGTGTGGTAGTGGCATGTGAATAAGCAAAGAGAACCATGGAATATATATCCAAGAGTAAACCTAGGTACATGTAAAAATTGCCATATGATGAAGATATTCGTTGTTGGGTTAAAGGGGATTTGTTAATAAATTGTTCTAGGATCTTAGCCAACAATGTAGAGGAAAGATACATTTTAACCTGTAAATTTATACCATTCACAAGAATAAATTCCAAATGAGGTAGGGTAAAAATGTTAATTTATAAAAAGATACTGTACAGCCAGGCTCTGGTGGCTCAGGCCTGTAATCACAGGTACTCAAGAGGCTGAGATATCAGGATCATAATTCAAAGCTAGAGCAGACAGTAAACTTTGAGACCCTTATTTATCTTCAATTAACCATCAAAAAGTTGAAAGTGAGGCTGTGGCTCAAGAGGTAGAGCACTAGGCCTGAGCAAAAAAACTCAGAGACAACACCTAGGCCCTGAGTTCAAGCCCAAGGATTGCACCCCTCACCAATTAAAAAAAAAAAGATTTTCTATACCTATTAGTGAAATGATTGTCAAAATTAGCATAGGAAAATACTTTCTAATTGTTGCTAAAAATTTACAGGCAATAAAATGAATAGCTTAAAAATAATTTCCACATACCACCTGTGCAAAACACCACTATGAATTCAAAGGGCATCTAAGAAACTTGGGAAAAGAATTTATCACATACTGCTTGTCACCAGACAGAGGTGAGGTTTAGTAAAGCTCCCCTTTAAATATAGGGACTCTTCACTTAGGGTTCTTGACTTCGAAAAATAACAATTTCTGGACAAGTCACAATGGTAAGAAAACTTGGCAGAGCTTTGTTAAGTAAACAAGCAAGGAAACATAAAAAAGCAGACAAACTGAAGGGCAGGGGCACACTCTGGGAGAGTGTGTGCTCTCATAGGGACTCAGAGACACAGACAGACACACACACACACAAGCAGACACACTGAGAGAAACTCAGCTCCTTGAGCTGTTGGGTATTTATAGAATAAAGGCAGGGGGTCTGGCTTTAAGTTATGCAAAGCTAGGTGCTTTGTTTTTGCTCTAACTACACCTGGTGTTATTTTCTGAGTTTCCAGGTAAGAATGAATCCTGCCATAAAACAGATCCTTATCCTTGAAACAAGATGCCCTGCCCTATTATTTGCATTTTGGGGCATCCTGTCCAGCAGTTGTGAATTCTTGGGTGAGAAATGCATCCCTTAGGAAAGAATGTATTCAGTTGCCTCTCTTTGAAGCAAGGCCCTTGTAATATAAGGCCCTTGTCCTTATATTAGTTACAGGGTTCAATAAGACTGATAGACCATTTTTCATAAGAAACAATGAATGCCAAGATAACAATATAAATTTCAAAGTAGCCAAAAAATTCCATCTCCTGAAAAACATTCATTAAAGATAGCATTTCTAAGTTTCTAGATACCATATTTCTGAGTTTCCTACACCAGCCCTCTGTAAGTTATTCTACTTTACTGCTGACAAAAAGTTGCTGTCTCTATTATGTTCAATATTTTTTCTTTCAAAAATTTAGAGACAAGTAAAGTCCTAATGGAAAATGGAGGTGAAAAGCACAAACAGTTCAGAAAAAAATGTTACAGAAAGTAGGCTTTGGCCATTTGTAAAAGTACTCAGATTAGTTAAAGAAATGCAAATTAAAGTGACACAGAAATACAATCTCACTTCTCAGAGTAGTGAAAATTTAAAGTGCCTACAGGGAAAGAAGCAGTCTTATGCACTTTAGAAATGTGAATTGTTATAATCTTTGTGTAGCAGCATTTAGTAAAATCCTAACAAAACTGTTTTTACCTGCCTTTTCAGCCAGAAAATTTACCTCCAAAAATAAGAAAATGCATAGGTTTAACAGCTGGAACATTGTAATAACAATGTTGGAATGTTGGAAACAACATTGGAAACAACCTAATTCCCATTTAGTGGCTATATAATCTATGGGTTTGTGTAATGGAATACTATGATTTCTTTTAAAAAATTTTTTATTTTATTGTAAATAAGCTGTACAGAGGGGTTACAGTTACATGAGTAAGGTAATGAGTACATTTCTTGTCAAGCATTGTTACCCCCTCCTTTGTTGTTCTCCCACTATCCCTCCCCACCTCCTTCACAACCCCCCCCCCCCAAGTTGTAAAGTTCATTTCCAACATAGTGTCTTGTGAGTATCATTGTTGCAATGGGTCACCCTGTGTCTTTGTTTCAGTGTTTTGTTATTCCCCTTCCCAAATTAGATAAATGTATACACAAGATTCGGGGTACCAAAATCAAGTACAGTGACAAAGAGGATATACCTTAGAGGGTAGAACATACAAACAAAGGAAACAAAAAAAATCACATAGTATATTA